TATATGGCATAACACCGTCACTCCGTTTGTCTCGATAGGCACTATATATATGGTATAACACCGTCACTCCGTTTGTCTCGATAGACGTCATATGTTATGAATGCTTTGTCGACTGACGTCATATGTTACGTATGCTGTCGACTGACGTCATATGTTACGTATGCTCTGTCGACTGGCGTCATATGTTACGTATGCTCTGTCGACTGACGTCATATGTTATGTATGCTCTACCGAATGAAAGCGGAAAAATCGTGATTTCAACACTTCTCCGTCACTAGAGAAAAGATTATGTCGGTTTTATAGTACTAGTCCACTGAGATACCATGCCGCAGCTTAACATGAATACACAGTATACTGACTCCGAGCCGACCAGTCCTTGTTTCATCCCCTTAACGCCAGTCAGGATAACAACAAGTACCATCTTTTAACGTCTTTTGGTTGACGACTGAGGCATTCCGATTGTACAATGAGGGCAATCCTTACAAGTCAGCTTGATAGACATCGTAGTATTTCGATAGCAGATAAAAACGTGGGGTCCATAAGTCTTCCTTCCAACTTTCTATGAAGCCATTTGATCTTAGCGTATTCCCCTTAAAGACAGGACATTCTAAATACCATTTTGTTTTTTCTAAGTATGTGATAACATGCAAATGAAAGCTGTAACGTAAGTTATGAGGCACGTGAATCCCAACACAAACAAACCAGATGCAAACGGCATTAAGATGAAACTAAAATATACAGACGGAGAGTGTTTAAAGTTGAACCGCCTGCAATATTTTGAGAATTTATCTTTTTATTGGATGTTTATAGCTTGACGTAGAATTTGGAATGTTACAATCAGCATGCGGAAGAACGGCTTTCATCAATGGAATGCTTCTCAACAATATTCAGGCTCTGTGGTGCAGATGTTTTTTTCTTACGGAAAATGCCTTGTGTTGTTTCATGGTGTAAATACTTTCTGACGCTATAAACTAATCGCGTGGTCTGGCTCGGTGTTTTATTTCAATCTCTGCCCAACATGCGGTAACCTTTGAACCCTCAGTATCTACACGCCGATAACTATATTTGATTGCATGAATTACGACGTGCTGATGTGTGATAACCAGACCCATGGACAATTTCAGACTGGTTATTGTACAGTAAAAGTCTTTTTTACAAAACATATATTGCGTATTTTAAGACTAAGTAAAACAAGGAATACATAATTAACGTTGGATGGCCTTAATGACGCGTCACAAGTCCCCGAACGAATAAATCCGAAATAATTGACAGCGAAATGCACACTGAAAGAAATTCTTCGCATTCAGTGGTGGTAATGTGAGCATGAAAAGTAATTTCGCATTCCTTTGATATAAAAACATAATACGAAGAAATGTGGCTTCAAAGTTAATACATGAAATCAAATTGTGAATTTTAGAAATGACATTCATATTGAGCAGGAGAAATGCCATCAGTATATAAGAGAAGCATTTGCGCTTTCTTTTGTTTCATTTTTAGCATTGCATACACATCAGCAGATGACGAGATGTTGCTTTATAAATATTTATGTGTTGTTTATAAACAAAGTAAGCAGGGATATTTCTTAAATTCGACTTCCCACGAAAAACTGGGTCAGGTGGCATAGTTAAGTAACAGTTTGTGTATTCTCAATGGGTCGGCATTACTTGAATAAAAAGACCCATGGTGAAAGGATAACAGCTTCTTTTCAAACGACAAATTGAATGGTTTCGTTATTAGCACGATGTAGGTCAGACTGACGTGCGGAGCTGTGTTAATTAGGGCATCGCAAGGCTCTGGGCTGGAACGTCTACATCAGGGCAGAAAGAGCATTCTTCCGAAAACTTCCATTTTCAGTTACACCTCGATCGTTAATCCGGATGTCATCTTTCCATGTAAAATCATCCATTTAGCCAAAGTCCTGGATTAACGAGTTTCGGAGAAATGTCGTTTGTATGTGTAGACGTTCTGAACAGGCATTGCCTGGATTGAAGTGTTTCCGGACTAGCGAGGTTCAACTGTATATAATGTTATAATGTGTGTGTGAATGTGTGTGTGTGTGTGTGTGTGCGTGCCTGTGCTGTATGTGTAGTATGTGTGTGCGTGTGAGTATCGTGTATGTTTATGTGTGTGTGTGCGTGCGTGCGTGTGCTGTATGTGTAGTATGTGTGTGTGCGTGTGAGTATCGTGTATGTTTATGTGTGTGTGCGTGCGTGCGTGCGTGCGTGTGCTGTATGTGTAGTATGTGTGTGTGCGTGTGAGTATCGTGTATGTTTATGTGTGTGTGCGTGCGTGCGTGTGCTGTATGTGTAGTATGTGTGTGTGCGTGTGAGTATCGTGTATGTTTATGTGTGTGTGTGCGTGCGTGCGTGCGTGCGTGTGCTGTATGTGTAGTATGTGTGTGTGCGTGTGAGTATCGTGTATGTTTATGTGTGTGTGGCGCGTGTGTATGTGTGTGTAGCGCGTGCATGTGTGTGCGTGTGAGTATCGTGTATTATTATTATGTGTGTGTGTCACGTGTGTTTGTGTGTAGCGCGTGCATGTGTGTGTGTGGGAGTGGGGGGGGGGGGGGGGTGTTTCTTGTGATACGTTGTTACAAAATCGTTACTTATGGTACTTATCTACATATATACACATTAGAATTCTGGCCGAGCTTCATAACTGTATACACATGTATGTCTACGTGCCATCTTGTGTTTGATTCCTGTAGTAGTGGTATTAACCACCGGGTCTCGTATCAGGACGGTCAAACACATGTTCCCCGTTTTACATTCATCAGTGTCAGTTTCTTAGGGACCTACGGTATTTGTTTAGACCTTACCCCTGGTATTGGGCTTACCGTAGTTATCCGAGTTATGAACTTTTTACTAAGTGAGTGAGTTCTTTGCTGAGTGAGTTCTATTCTGAGTGAGTTAGTTCTTTTCTGAATGAGCTGGATATACACACGATGGCGTTTATGCAATCGAAAACGTTTGTTGCTTGTACATACAAAGGGCCACGTCGCCCATGATGACTCATTGTTCATCAGACCACACTGGAGAGTCGTGTCCTGGTGTCCACATCTAGCTGCCATTGTGACCATCTGATCCACACACACACACAGAAGTAAATGTCATCCTCTTCTTATTGTAGCATATTTTTCTTGTAAGATTTAAAGTGTACCAGTTTCTAACTTGGCTGAAGTTGGACTGTTTTTTTAAACATTTTTTTAAAATAAAACTTTAAAATTCGATTTACTAACATGGTAAGTCAATATTCATTTTCATTTCCCAGATACTCACAACAGTTTGAAATGGGAAGAGATGTTGATGTGTGGTTTCTCTTTGACCCCGCTACACATTATAACGGCTACGTATACATGTACCGTCTGATTACAATAGAAACAACTGATGCGGCGTTGATTTTTCACCACATTTCATTCATTGCTTTTTTACATTTTCCAGCCTCACAAACTGTTTTGAAAATGCGATGTACCAAACACGCTTAAAAATCGATGAAATATAAGCTTTTATACTTACATATGTATATCTACGCCTGTCTATGTCGCGGCCTTGACAATAAAGTAAACTGTCCTGCAAGCGTCACGTTTGATCCTTGACGTTCACTACATCTGCCACAGTTTTTATGTGATTCTACGGATCCATTGTGAACGCAACACAATAACTACATACCACATTGAAATGTACTGAAGCGGAAATCAAGAAATTGGAAACATTTAATGAACCCTTCAGGGACTGACCGCAAACCAGTTCCAGGGTGACAGATTCTTCTTTAATATGAACCTTAGGTTATTTAACCCTTCAGGGAACACCTTTGTGGGCGTACTATATCTACGCATGAAAAAATACCTTTGGCCTATTGTGTGTCCGAGTGGTATGTTGATCAAAGTTCAGTTTTCACAGCGGTTGGTCTGAAGCGGTGTGTTGTGACGTGAGGCAACCTTGAACGGTATACTTTCACGCTGATAAAGGATAATATACGACTAATTTGAGAATTGTTATCCATAACATTGCCGTACGAAAAAAGAATTAAGCGTGGTGTCTTTTTATCTGTTCATAGTCTGTTATACATTGACCCATGGTTCTCATTGAGGTGAAAAGGCTTTAACGTTGCGTCCAAGACTCATGCCGAATTTAGAGTGCTAGCCTGATATATCATGCCGCAGTTTAACATGAATACCCCACTCAGACACAGTATGCTGACTCCGAGCAAACCAGTTCTTGTTTCAGCCCCTTAATGCCGAGCACCAGGCAGGGTAACAACAAGTACCATCTGTTAACGTCCTCTGGTATGACATGGCCGAGGTTCGAACCCGGACCTTCCGCTCTCCGGGCGGACGCTCTACCACTAGACCACGGAGGCGGTCTGCTTGATCTGGGAGGACAGCCCGAAGGGATGAAACCCACGAGCATGCATATGGTGCTGACAAAGCTAGAATCATTTTCAGGGTGAATATTGGATTCTAACCAACGATCATAGGAATCTGGCATGGCAAAGGGGCGCAACTCTGCACAGCTAAATGCAGCGCTACCGTACGCGTATTCTCCACGCGGATTTGAAAAATCACTTGAATTACAATCTTTAGGCAAATGAATTGTTCTGCGCAGCTCAGCAATATGACAACTATATCACGGTGGCCTATAAATAATCGAACCTGGAGCAGAAACCAGTGGTTGATAACAGGAGCAACTATCCAAACTGACGGCATGAAATATGAATACCGATTTCCAGTTTAGTAAACTCTAACGACCATCATTTGAACCAGTATTAATAGAATAAATCCTCCACACACACTCGCTCATGCACGTCGCTATAAGTGCAATAACCTTGGTCGCGTCGTCTGTTCCCTTTTCACCTCATTTCATTCTACGGGTTCGTCACGGGAATCCAATTAAAAATCTCATTGTGTCTATAAGCTTTTTTTCAAACGTTAAAACGTCACTTCTCTGGCGGTATGACAACCTGAACACAATTACTCCGTCTATAACTAGAAACACACTTACTTGATAAGGAAGCTAACTCCATTGCCCTTGAGGTTGATACTGACCAGAGCCCAGCTGGCTCTGATGGCGTCCTTCTGGCGTTCCGTCAGTCCCGTGGCTTCATCCGGCGTGTCCATGTCTCGACCTACACCGAAGATGTACTGCACAGTGGACACAACCAGACCCATGCTGAAACCAAAACAGGCCATGCCGTGATTGCTGATCATTGGCCTCTTGGAAGTGTGTCGGTAAACCCGTTACCCTCTCAATATTTAATCCTGGTGCTGGAGTCATCAGGAGATGGAGGAGCGTTAGTTGGAGGAAATGGTGGCAGTCTGGCAGCTGGTGGAGGGTAGGAATGGTACCAGCTGATCTGTACTGACATGTTTAATGTATGTTCAATGTATGTTCAATGTATGTTCATTGTATGTTCAATGTATGTTCAATGTATGTTCATTGTATGTTCAATGTATGTTCAATGTATGTTCGTTGTATGTTCAATGTATGTTCGTTGTATGTTCGTTGTATGTTCAATGTATGTTCAATGTATGTTCAATGTATGTTCAATGTATGTTCAATGTATGTTCATTGTATGTTCAATGTATGTTCAATGTATGTTCGTTGTATGTTCGTTGTATGTTCAATGTATGTTCAATGTATGTTCATTGTATGTTCATTGTATGTTCAATGTATGTTCATTGTATGTTCAATGTATGTTCAATGTATGTTCAATGTATGTTCGTTGTATGTTCAATGTATGTTCGTTGTATGTTCATTGTATGTTCATTGTATGTTCAATGTATGTTCAATGTATGTTCAATGTATGTTCATTGTATGTTCAATGTATGTTCAATGTATGTTCAATGTATGTTCATTGTATGTTCAATGTATGTTCAATGTATGTTCGTTGTATGTTCAATGTATGTTCGTTGTATGTTCGTTGTATGTTCAATGTATGTTCAATGTATGTTCAATGTATGTTCAATGTATGTTCATTGTATGTTCAATGTATGTTCAATGTATGTTCGTTGTATGTTCGTTGTATGTTCAATGTATGTTCAATGTATGTTCATTGTATGTTCGTTGTATGTTCGTTGTATGTTCGTTGTATGTTCAATGTATGTTCATTGTATGTTCGTTGTATGTTCGGTGTATGTTCATTGTATGTTCAATGTGTGTTCATTGTATGTTCATTGTATGTTCGTTGTATGTTCAATGTATGTTCGTTGTATGTTCGTTGTATGTTCAATGTTTGTTCATTGTATGTTCAATGTATGTTCATTGTATGTTCGTTGTATGTTCAATGTATGTTCATTGTATGTTCATTGTATGTTCGTTGTATGTTCGTTGTATGTTCAATGTATGTTCGTTGTATGTTCAATGTATATTCATTGTATGTTCGTTGTATGTTCAATGTATGTTCGTTGTATGTTCGTTGTATGCTCAATGTATGTTCAATGTATGTTCAATGTATGTTCAATGTATGTTCGTTGTATGTTCAATATATGTTCAATATATGTTCAATGTATGTTCGTTGTATGTTCGTTGTATGTTCAATGTATGTTCATTGTATGTTCGTTGTATGTTCAATGTATGTTCGTTGTATGTTCGTTGTATGTTCAATGTATGTTTAATGTATGTTCAATGTATGTTCAATGTATGTTCGTTGTAAGTTCAATATATGTTCAATGTATGTTCGTTGTATGTTCGTTGTATGTTCGTTGTATGTTCGTTGTATGTTCAATGTATGTTCAATGTATGTTCGTTGTATGTTCATTGTATGTTCGTTGTATGTTCAATGTATGTTCGTTGTATGTTCATTGTATGTTCGTTGTATGTTCATTGTATGTTCGTTGTATGTTCATTGTATGTTCGTTGTATGTTCAATGTATGTTCGTTGTATGTTCATTGTATTTTCGTTGTATGTTCGTTGAATGTTCATTGTATGTTTAATGTATGTTCAATGTATGTTCAATATATGTTTAATGTATGTTCAATGTATGTTCGTTGTATGTTCATTGTATGTTCGTTGTATGTTCAATGTATGTTCGTTGCATGTTCATTGTATGTTCGTTGTATGTTCGTTGAATGTTCATTGTATGTTTAATGTATGTTCAATGTATGTTCAATGCATGTTCAATGTATGTTCAATGTATAACAGGATACACGTTGCAAGGTATCATAAGGTGTGCATAAGGCGTGTAAAGCGCAAGGTGGGTACAGTGTATGATAAGATGATATTCGGGACGAACGACTTATAATTCTGACACCAGCCATATGAATACAGGGCGTTAATAAAGCGACAAAACCCTTTTCATATCAAAGAGAAAGAGTTGATTGTACGATTCCGACTATATCATGATCATGTGTTTATTGATCACTATCAAATAGTAATGCTACCAGGTGTTCGCGAAAAGCTGAGCGTACCCTGCCCCACAGGTAGCACCCCTCACAAACACATGCAAAGGCAAGTCAATTGTTCACCTGAAAAACAAGGGTCATATGGTACAAGTCAAAATAGGGAATTGCATTTTTGTCACTGATGCGTCAAATTTGGAAATGTCCTCCACATGTCTCCCATAAAAAGTTTGAAAGCTTTACTGAGACCTTGAATGTTGTAACCTAGATCAAACAACTTCCGAGCAAGAGTCGTATGTTAAAAAATCTCCTTGAAAGTCGAGATCCAAACTGAAGATGTATAATGAACACATCACTGTCAGCAAGCAGGTCTGCATCGCCGCTCCAGTACGTCACAGATAACACGTTCCTACATTCGTATATGTATAATTTCTTCCCGATATATCAACATAAAATGGACAGGTCAAAGACGATATACAATGCTGTCGCAACGTCGCCTAGTTACGTACCAGAATAGGTGAAACCTTTGACACGACCCCCAGAATGAAATGAGTAAGCGAATTACATTTGACACCTAGAATACATCATTCAACCGACATCAGTGGGGAGGGCCATTAATAAATATCACGTTATCCCTTGATGTTTTTAACGTGGCTTGCCTTGAGCTCTAGATGGAGCAGAGATAAGACAGCGATTTGAACAGTGTTGATGTTGGGAACACCAACATATTGCCACGTTTTTACTGTTGTTTCAGAAATTGCTGCAAATGTATTGAACAGAAAATTATTGATAAAAGGGTAAATTACTTTTCATTATTTTCAGGAAGATGGGTTAGCATAGCGGTTCACGTGTTCGCTCGTTTCACTGAAGTTCCCGGTTTGATTCCCAACATGGGTAAAACATGTGAAGCCGATGATGGTGACGCCAGTCGTTGTATGGCCGGAATAATGATAAAAGCGGTGCAAACTCACTAAGTGACCCATTCATATAATCTTTGCCGCTATTTTGCATTTTACGCCCAATGGATCTGTTTCGACGGATAATCGAGACTTGTTATTGTCTGGCGTTAACGTTTTGTATTATAAAGAACGATGAGAATGGAGATCAGTTGGCCTTAGTGCACCATTAATAATCAGTTCTAAGGAATATTCACCGAAAGATGGCTAGTTCATGCCGTTTTGTGTGTTATCAATACCATGGTGATACGGATAGATGCTCATAGTATCGACAACTAGTATGGCTACTCCACAATCGAACGCAGAACAGACAATTATATTATACGGATTTCAGTTTCATCGATTCAAAGGGCGGGATAAGGACGGAAAAACAGGTTATCTTAATCTTCATCTGATTGTTTGTGACGGCACCCATCCCTGCTGGACAGCCAAGGCATTTGGGGTTTGCTGTTCCCCTGGGACATTCCGGGGTAAATAATCCCTTGTGCTCACTGCGGAGTTCCTGGGCCTTGTGAAGGGTCAGCCATGAAGGTGAACAGCTAAAGTGGGTTTGGCGGTCAGACTGACCCCTGAGTATGGACAGCAGTATCCTGGTTGACCCCTCCAGGGTTAGTACCCTTGAATGTCCAAGGGGAATAACAAACCCCTAATGCCTCCGCGTATGGACAGTACTAGAACAATCCAGAAGATCCAAGCATGGCTGTGGCATAGCTCTCTTGCCTAGACACCAGAGGAGATCGGTCGATCCTGAGACTATCGACCCCTGGTTGTCTTCTCGAGTCGGCCTTCTACTCGCATGGCGCGGTGATACGGGGCTATGAACGATTACGATGTAATTATAAACCAGGTTCACGCAGCCCTTTGACTTATTGTGTGGTCTGGTGTTTTTTTACAATACTAACCCCGTACACATCTCACTTTGACAAACTTAATCTCCCTGAATTAGCTTCACAATCAACTGCCATGGCATCCCACAAAGCCCCATGACTAAGATAGAAAACCAAGAGGGCAAGAACACTAAAAAAAACATTTAACCTTATGACGGGTTTTTTTTTCTTCTTTTCTTATCGCAAATTCTACCGAAATTGATAGCAGGATGGTTGGGCAGGAATGCAAAGAAATGAACCGACGCTCTTATTCAGAAAGTTTATCTTTCGAAATGTCTGCATTGGAACTGTAAAGTGCCGTCATGGAAATGCTGAGAAACATTGACATTAAGGCATGTTCAAAACTGAAAATGCTATGCTGTAGTTTTTAAATGCGCTTTCAATATACTTCACCCATGCACATCCAGAAAGTATGATTGTGGGGTTTTTCGACAGATGGTCCAATTATCGAAAATACTTTTTAGACTATCAAAGGCACCAATTGAGTTTGTTTAAATAAGTATTTGTATCTACATGGTTATATTTGATGGCGAAAAAAGACGTCTTCATGATGCCTTTGGCGGAGACGACGTTAAACAATGGAACACGAGTTTCCTCTAAAATAGACTCATGGAAATAGATTGTGCATAAGTGACATCTAGTTCCGTCAAAAGCCGTTGCCCAGTCATCGTGAGGAGCCACTTTACTCAGGGCTCCATCTCACTGCGTGACACTCGTTAAGCGTTTGATGGGGAAAGATCGCTGTGCAGAGCTAAACCACAAAACTCTCAATCTAATGACTGGTCCATCATCAGTGAATGAGGTTTATATGTTCATAAAAAAATTCAAAACAGTGTGAATAAAACAGCTTCTAATCAGTATATGCAAAAACATAGGTCACAGAAAAATATCCCTTCTATCTTTCCTGGAACTCGATCATCGATGTTAATCGCGGACACGACCTTCGTCGGCGTTAATTATGTTCCTCATACATATGAAGGTCCGACCATCGTGAGAATGGGGGACATAAGCAGATGGCCGAGCCTCCACGGGAAGGTGTACATCCACTAATGGTTGACGAACATTCGATAAGCTGTACGTCGCTACACAAAGAACATCTCACGAAGGACGGGGAACAACGACCCTTCAAGACACAACCAGATACTTTTGTCAAAGCTAGACTGAGTGTTGTATCGGTTTTGTAGTTCGGTTAATTTCTACGATAAATAAGCAATTACTAGAAGTCTATACATGTATAGTAGGTAAGGTATTCGTCCCTGTCGGGCAGATGATCGATTTAACACTGAGGAGCATATTGATTACTGTCACGTTAGAACAATAGCGATCCGGAAGAATTACAGCTGTGGGGGTAGATGCATGGGCCGTTCCCTGTACAAAGGTGGGCATTTGAAATAGGGGTGAAACCTACAGGGGAATTCGAATGGCGCTTACAGAGGAAGTTGATAATCAGGGCGAACCTGGGATTCGAACCCCATGACCTGCAGATACGTGAACGGCGAAGGGACGCAACTCTACACATCGAATCGCCGGGCCTTCTATCAGACCCACAGAGGTTGGTTGGTTGGTTGTTTAACGCCGCACTCAGCAATATTCCAGCTATATGACGGCGGTCTGTAAATAATCCAGTGATTAATATCATGAGCATCGATCCACGCGATTGGGATGCGATGACATGCATCAACCAAGTCAGCGAGCCTGACCACTTGATCCCGTTAGTCGCCTCTTACAACAAGCATAGTCGCCTTTTACGGCAAGTATGGGTTGCTGAAGACCTATTTCACCCCGATCTTCACGGATCAGACCCACAGAGGGATGGACAGCCAGAGAGAGAGAGAGAGAGAGGCCGAGGGAGAGAGACCGTGAGAGAGAGGCTGTGAGGTAGAGAGAGTAAAAAGGATAGAGAGTAAGAGAGAGGGAGGGACAGTGAGATAGAGGCTGAGAGAGAGAGAGAGAGAGAGAGAGAGAGAGAGAGACGCAGACAGAAAGTCGAGAGACAAGGCTAGAAAAATATAACAAGAGTAGAGAGAGAAATAGAGAGTGAAAAAGAGAGGAAAACACGAACACACCCACCCCCACCCGCCCCGCGACTATCGTATTCTGTGTAATGAACCTCACAATGCGTTTCCACATACTATCAACTATCAGCACACTTATCAACACATATACCATAAAAGCATGTGTTGACAACGATTGACTTGAACGATCTTAATTATTTCTACCTATAAGAACTGAAAAAAGCAGTACAATATAAAATATAAACGATATGTCATAATAAAAATAATGATGATAACAATAATGGCAATAATTATTCACATTTCAAATATGTATATATGAACACGAAAGCTGTTCACTACTTCATGAATAAAATAACGTAACGCATTACAGATACAAGGGAGTACAACACTGTAGAGGAACAAATAACACACAGGATAAGCAAGCAGCTCCATAAAAATATTGCTGGTAATCTAACATCATTCACCACTTGCTGCCTATAGACATATTAAAGAAAGCAAGAAAGGATATCACCCGCAGCCTACCTGTTAGTTTAGTGTAATCCGCGTTTATCCAGGGAAAGAGATCAGTACGACGCTACTACACGCGATGCACGGGTGAAATGAGTCTCTTCCACGGTGTCCACAGGTAGGGTGTCAGATCTACGAGATAACCCGCTCTGAAGTAACATTTGAAGAATTCGAGCGGCAGTCCTCGCTTCAGTGAGATAGCCAGGTGACCGAACTGCTACTGGTTGACAACTGTGTCGGTTAGGGAGTCTGCAAGGGGAGCTTCATGGTAGAGGATCTGACGTCTCAAGGGAAAGGAGCGCGCTCCGTTCAGACGATAGACTCCATGAACAAAGTTTCTAATTGTCGTTGACAAAGCTTCTATTGACATCTTCGGTAGCTGCCCAGTGTTGCGCGAAGCATGCTGGGATAATGCGTCAGGTTAAATGTATCGTCTGCCTTGTACGTGACATTCAATGATTGATAACAGTGTCTGGCGCGTGCACGGTTGCAGTGACTGGACGTATGTGTGATGATGATGCTGTGGTTTACCGCTGTTGGACTCCAGTTTGGAATGTGATGTATGAAGAGTGTTGTTAGATACAGGGCACCGTACTAAGAGGTTGTCATGGGTTAACGGGCATATGGAATATGGTACAATGTGTAAAGATTTCAAAGTTTCAGCTGGGATACGCCTTAAATGTAAAACACTTATGTTATGATGCTTTGGAAATATGATCTGCTGGTTTGGGCAAAAAAATAATGTATGGCGACAGCACAAATATGTGTTAACTTCTCTTGCTTACCCCTTTTAACATAAGGAATGCTGCTTCTCATAGGGCATGTGTTATCTTTAACATAAGGAATGCTGCTTCTCATAGGGCATGTGTTATCTTTAACGTAAGGAATGCTGCTTCTCATAGGGCATGTGTTATCTTTAACATAAGGAATGCTGCTTCTCATAGGGCATGTGTTATCTTTAACATAAGGAATGCTGCTTCTCATAGGGCATGTGTTATCTTTAACATAAGGAATGCTGCTTCTCATAGGGCATGTGTTATCTTTAACGTAAGGAATGCTGCTTCTCATAGGGCATGTGTTATCTTTAACGTAAGTAATGCTGCTTCTCATAGGGCATGTGTTATCTTTAACGTAAGGAATGCTGCTTCCCATAGGGCATGTGTTATCTTTAACGTAAGTAATGCTGCTTCTCATAGGGCATGTGTTATCTTTAACGTAAGGAATGCTGCTTCCCATAGGGCATGTGTTATCTTTAACGTAAGTAATGCTGCTTCTCATAGAGCATGTGTTATCTTTAACGTAAGGTTTAATGTTTACGTGTGCCGTATGTTATCTTTAACGTGCCGTATAATGTTTACGTGTGCCTTATGCTATCTTTAACGTGTTTACGCGTAACGTATGTTATCTTTAACGTTAGGTTTAATGTTTACGCTTAGCGTATGTTATCTTTAACGTGCCGTATAATGTTTACGTGTGCCTTATGTTATCTTTCACGTGTTTACGCGTAACGTACGTTATCTTAAACGTGTTTACGTGTGCCTTATGTTATCTATCACGTGTTTACGCGTAACGTATGTTACGTGTGCCGTATGTTATCTTTAACGTGTTTACGTGTGCATTGTGTTATCTTTCACGTGTTTACGCGTAACGCATGTTATCTTTAACGCGTTTACGTTTGCCTTATGTTATCTTTCCCGCGTTTACGCGTAACGTATGTTATCTTTAACGTGTTTACATGTGCCGTATGTTATCTTTCACGTGTTTACGCGTAACGTATGTTATCTTTCACGTGTTTACGCGTAACGTATGTTATCTTTAACGTAATGTTTTATGTTTACGTGTAAAGTATGCTATTTTGACGTAGGTATAATGTTTACGCGTAACGTATGTTATCTGTGCGTATCGGGGAACAACAATTGGGTATTATTTTTTAGCCATATGTAAATGCATTGCTAATTACTAAGTAACAACCGCCGTCATATACATGTTGTAGATGGAATAGAGCGGAGTGCGGCGTTAAACAACAAACAAACAATACTAAGTAACGGTCGTCAAGTGCAGCAGACGTACAAGTCAAGTCAAGTCTCGTTAATCCGACACTCGTTAATCCGACAATCGGCTTTATCCGACACTAATGATGGGAACCACTAAATTAGTGCTATTTAGACCCGTTAATCCGACAGTCTCGCACTCCGACTACGACACACCGAATTTGCAACGAATTACCGAAATCACTCATTAATCAGTCACGTTAATCCGACACAGTGATCAGCGAACTCCGTGGTCATCTGCTCACGAGTACACAGCCAGTGTTTTGATGGGAAAAGAATCGGCTGGTAGCTGCATATTACAACGGATGCAGAGATAAACTTGCTTAACAATAAACAATTAATGCTTTAAATACAGGATTAATCACATGCTTAGATTACCTCATTCTCATTAAAATCAGATACAAGTTCTCGCTATCGCCGAGGACATCCCGTTACAGGTCACAACAGAACAACCTTTCGCGAACTATGACCTACCTATGAATTGCCCAACAGGAAGTCAACGTTAGCCACTAAGAAAGCAGCTTTCTCAAGCTTTGCGGTACCAGTTTCAAACTGGCGACTTCCATTCCAGACTATCCTTTTTAAATTATTTTGAATAAGTCATACAGTCCGTAACAGTTGTTTTGTGGTAATCTTTAAAGGTTGCATGATTAGAAAACATATTCCGCTAACAATGTAATAAAACAATATGAATATTTCATTTTTCATTTTTTATTACTTGTTTGTATCGTTACCTATCGTGTAGTTGTCCGATTTTCGATCACGAACGTTGATACTACTTAATTTCGTTTATCCGACATTCTCGTTAATCCGACATAATCATATGCAACCAACGATGTCGGATTAACGGGACTTGACTTGTATATTGAAAGTGTGCGCGTGATGATCGATAGCTACATCCCAACATGCCTCTTCTCCCAAATGTGTGGAACCATTTCGGGTAACGATGTCCCCGCCGTCAGATTGCTGGAATATTGCTAACCGCGGCGTAAAACCAAACCCACTCCAAGAACAAACCCCTTCTTGTTAGTCTTCTGACACGTGAAGATTCGGGGTAGAATAGGTCTTCAGAAACCCATGCTTGCCGTAAAAGGCGTCTATGCTTGTCCTAAGAGGCGACAAACTGGATCGGGTGGTCAGGCTCGCTGACTTGGTTGATGCATGTCATCGATCCCAATTGCGTGGATCGATGTTCATGATGTCAATCACTGGACTGTCTGGTCCAGACTCGATTATTTACAGACCGCCGTCATATAACTGGAATATTGGTGAGTGCGGCGTAAAACAACAAACAAAGAAAACAAATGTTAGTCTTCTCGGTATGGTATTGAAGTTGACGCTATCTTAACGTAAGGCCATCCATATTTTTTATGTGTTTCTCATCTCCAACCTCAACCAGCAAAAGAGCAGGCGGGCGAAATGGAATATTAAAAAATAAAAAAATATTTTAAAAACTGTTTTCACCAATTGTATAACTAATTTTATATTACATCGTGACGCTAAAAACACTTGCTACCAGTCTTTCAATCAATTTATGCCGTAGATCGGGGCGCTTTGCTTCGGAATGTTTAATACACATAGCTGGAGAAAGATAAAACTGACCCTACATTTTTATGACTGTGCAATGTTAGGGGTAGGTTTTTATCACATGATGTATAATTTTCCATAGCGGCAGGGAAAATTGAGACACGAATACGTTGTATTATTTCGTCGGAATGAAAATTCTGGGCGGGCGAGAGATAGGAAACACAGAAAAAATACGTACAGCCTTAGGGGATCGCGTAAGGTATGCTGTTTGTAAGGTTGAGTATTCTGTAGTCAATAACAGGTCATGATAAATCGGATATAATACTAGACAACTGATCTGATGGTAGCTATTCCGGGGGTGGGGGGTACTTGGTTGCGTGTCTATGTTTGTAGGTATTCCCCATAGTCCTGCACCATCACTCTGGAATACAGTAAACTACGGTTATAACGAACACGCTTATAACGAACTAACGGATATAACGAACTAACTTTTTAGTCCCGACTATATGCTTAGTTATGCTGTATATATGCTTATAACGAATTATGGTTATAACGAACTAAAATTAGTAGTCCCTTTGAGTTCGTTATAACCGTAATTTACTATATGTATTTCATGAAACAAAACCAATCTAGATATAGTAAAGCAGGTCTTGCCAGCTCTAGTCAGCTTTATTCCACATCGGCATTATTAATCATCATCAGTAATGTATTTCAGGACAAAAAGTTTTTATTTTAGAGAAAGCTAGATGTCACATGAGACACTAGATTAACACTTAGTCTTTGAAAACATTTCATTTCTAAAATAATTTTGTTCAAAAGAATCTTCCCTCTTCTGCTGTTTCAAGGAAACTAGACTAGGTTTAGTTTGATCCAGCCTTGCCTGGGCTCTTAGTAAAATACATCATTATATACTGGATGAAACTAAACCTAGTCTAGTCTCCTTGAAATATATAAATATATATATATATATTCCACAGCCATTGCGCAGGACTAATGAGGACTAATGGGATACGCATCTTGGTGTATCGCGTGGCTGACACCACCCAGCCTGTCGCCTCATGCCATCCCCAAGTCATGGGTGTCGGTAACAAGTCAAGTATCGCACTACAGAATAAAAACGAGTCATCTCACATGATACGCCATTGTGTAGTTATATGAACGCTTTCCATGATAGAAAAAACACGAATTATATGGGACCGTCCATTTAATGTTCCAGGGGTGTCTGAGACGTTTATTTCAATTTCAACATTTTTTTCAATCACAGCATCAAGACATACAATTCCTTTCCCTGAAAGGAGGACGCAAACATTTTATTTCATAACAGCAAGTGTCACGTGAAAGTTTTATATTTGTTAAACACATTATGATTAACCCCACCATATCAAATGGTCCGCCCCGTATGCAGTAGCTACCCTTTCACTTGTGTGTGTTCAGCTTGGCTTGGTATGAATAGAAATGTCCCAAGGTAGACTGGGCTTACACATTTGTTATCTGTATTAAAAAGTTATTGCCTATTCTTATACAACCTTGTGAGAAGCAGCCCCCTCAGCCTCGGCCAATGGAGAATGTATAAACACAGGAGAAACACGTAACCCTGTTTACACAGCCATGTGGAACGACCACTTTGTGATAAGGATGTTTGGTAGTTAGGCATGTTGTAAGACGGGCTTACACGAGTGTAGGAAACAGATAAATGACTTGCTGAAGCTGTGTTGATAACGAAGACGTATACCTTAGATAACGCACTGTTCTATAGAGGACTTCAAGGTGAGGTGAGGTGAAATGGGGTTTAACGTCGCGGTCATCATTACTGCACTTATATAGCGTGTGTGAGTGGTGTGTGTGTGTGTGTGTGTGTGTGTGTGTGTGTGTGTGTGTGTGTGTGTGTGTGTGTGTGTG